TTGTCCCACGAGGAGTATGTTAGCCTAAATGAATCCACCCCCCCAGTCATATTAATACTCACATTCCTCGAGGCACTGGCCGAGGAGTTGGAGTAGCAGCAATATATGATTCGAGCGTTTTAATGGACCCTAAACCTAAACTAAATTATAATATATTTGAAAGCCTTGTTCTTAGTCTTTTTCACCCAAACTGGAAAACACTGCAGCCAGTTCTATTTGTTATAGTGTACCGCGCTCCTGGACCGTACTCTGATTTTATATCTGAATTCTCAGAGTTTTTATCAAGTTTAGGCCTTAAATCAGATAAAGTAATTATTGTAGGTGATTTAATATTCATGTGGATGTTAACAATGACAGCCTTAGTAATGCATTTATATCATTAATAGACTCAATTGGCTTCTGTCAGAGTGTAAATAAACCAACTCATTGTTTTAATCACACTCTTGACCTTGTTCTATCATATGGCATTGATATTGAACATTTAATAGTCTTCCCACATAATCCTTTCCTATCTGACCATTATTTAATAACTTTTGAATTCATACTATTAGATTATAACCCACTAGACAAAACTTCCTACAGCAGATGTCTATCTGACAGTGCTGTAGCTAAATTTAAGGAGATTCCTTCAGTGTTTAATTCAATGCCATGTCTGAATTTAACAGAGTCCTATAACGACTTTAGTCCCTCTGAAATTGATAATCTTGTCGATAGTGCTACAGGCTCACTACGATCAACATTAGACTCTATCTCTCCTATAAAAAGGAAATTATTAAAACATAGGAGACTAGCACCTTGGTATAACCACCAAACCCGCCAGTTAAAACAAATAGCTAGGAAATCTGAAAGGAAATGACGCTCTTCCAAATTATCAGAATATCGCTCAATTTGGCATAATAATCTTAAAACTTATAGAAAGGCCCTCCGTAATGCCAGAGGAGCCTATTACTCAGCACTAATAGAAGAAAATAAGAATAACCCTAGGTTCCTCTTCAGCACTGTAGCCAGGCTGACAGAGAGTCACAGCTCTATCGAGCCACATATCTCCATAAACTTAAGTAGCAATGACTTCATGAGCTTCTTTTATAATAACAGTATTACTATTAGAGAGAAAATTAATCACCAACTGCCATCAACAGTTATCAGTGGCTCTCCAAGTTCAGGGACTTCTGCCAATGTAAACTTAGATATATATTTAGACTGTTTTTCTGCTATCGATCTTCATCAGTTAACTTCAATCATTTCTTCATCGAAGCCATCAACCTGTCTATTAGACCCGATCCCAACTAGGCTGCTAAAAGAAGATGTACCCTTAATTGGCACTTCTTTACTGGATATGATTAATCTTTCTTTATTATCAGGATATGTACCACAGTCCTTTAAAGTAGCTGTAATTAAACCCCTTCTTAAAAAGCCCACTCTTGACCCAGGGGTTTTAGCCAACTATAGACCGATTTCTAACCTCCCCTTCCTCTCTAAGATTCTGGAGAAAGTAGTCGCCAAAGAGTTGTGTGACTTTTTACATAACAATAGTTTATTTGAGGATTTTCAGTCAGGATTTAGAGTTCATCGTAGCACAGAGACAGCTCTGGTTAAAGTTAATAATGACCTTCTGATTGCTTCTGACAATGGACTTGTCTCTGTACTTGTATTATTAGATCTTAGTGCTGTATTTGACACCATTGACCATGATATTCTTTTACAGAGACTTGAGCATCAAATTGGCATTAAAGGAACCGCACTAAGCTGGTTTAAGTCATATTTATCAGATCGCTTGCAGTTTGTACATGTTAACGATGAATCTTCAATAAATACTACAGTTAGTCATGGAGTTCCACAAGGTTCTGTACTTGGACCAATACTATTTACTTTATATATGCTCCCTTTAGGCAACATTATTAGGAATCACTCCATTAACTTTCACTGTTATGCAGATGATACGCAGTTATATCTATCAATCAAGCCCGATGAAATTAATCAATTATCTAAATTACAAACATGTCTTAAGGACATAAAATCCTGGATGACCTGCAATTTTCTGATGTTAAACTCGAAATTCTTGTTCTTGGCCCCAAAAACCGTAGAGACTCACTGTCTAAAGATATAGTTACTCTAGATGGCATTAACTTGGCCTCTAGCACCACTGTCAGGAATCTTGGAGTTATCTTTGATCAGGATTTGTCATTTAACTCCCACATAAAGCAGACCTCTAGGACTGCCTTCTTTCATTTACGTAATATTACAAAAATTGGACACATACTATCACAGACAGATGCAGAAAAACTAATCCATGCATTTGTTACTTCAAGGCTGGATTACTGCAACTCTTTATTATCAGGTTGTCCCAATAAGTCCATTAAAACGCTCCAATTAATTCAGAACGCTGCAGCACGAGTACTGACAGGAACTAGAAAAAGAGATCACATCTCTCCTGTACTAGCTTCTTTGCATTGGCTCCCTGTAAAATGTAGAATAGAATTTAAAATCCTCCTCCTCACCTATAAAGCTCTTCATGGTCAGGCCCCTTCATATCTTAAAGAGCTCATAGTACCCTATTACCCCTCTAGAACACTACGTTCTCTGAATGCTGGGCTACTTGTGGTTCCTATAGTCTCTAAAAGTAGAACAGGAGCCAGAGCCTTCAGTTACCAAGCTCCTCTCCTGTGGAACCAGCTTCCAGTTGTGGTTCGGGAGGCAGACACCCTCACCACATTCAAGAGTAGGCTTAAGACATTCCTCTTTAATAAAGCTTATAGTTAGGGCTGGATCAGGTGAGTCCTGAACCATCCCTTAGTTATGCTGCTATAGGCCTAGACTATCGGGGGATTTCCCATGGTGCACCTAGCTCCTCTCTTCCTCTCTCTTTCTGCACTCATTCATGTTCCATTAATGCATGTTACTAACTTCACTTCTTCCCCGGAGTTCTTGTGCTTTCTCGTCTTGCAGGTTCTTGTCGATCCTGGTGGAGCCTCCTGCCATGGTCCTGCTAGATTGCCATTGCCAATACTGTTGTTGCTGTGCACCTGTCTGTCTGTCTCTCGCTCTCCCTCTCTCTGTCTCTCTCTCTCTCTCACCCCAACTGGTCGAGGCAGACGACCACCCACCTAGAGCCGAAGGATCTGTCCTAGGTTTCTGCCTTTTAACAGGCAGTTTTTCCTTGCCCTTGTCGCCAAGGTCTTGCTCATGGTGGAACTGTTGGGTCTGTAATTAATGTTATAAAGAGTTCAGTCTAGACCTACTCTACTTAAAAAGTGTCCTGAGATAACTTCTGTTATGAATTGGCGCTATACAAATAATATTTGTTTGTAATTAAAAAATTAAAAAAAATGTAATATTTATTGTTTATTAGAACTTACTACTACTACTACTTATACATGCAAAAAATATCTGTACCCAACCCTGGTAAATCCACCATGTATGGACATAGAGTTCTCCAGTGTTCCACAGATTGAGTTCTGGAGTTCTGGTCCATTACTGTGTGTTCCAGTCACAGTAGTGACTCAGCAGAGAGAGTGCACGGATATCACTCTGCATGTCTCCATAGTGTTGGCGTGGGTTTACTCCAGGTTACCTCCAGTTTCCTCCCACATTCAAAGACATGCTGCTCATTATGTACACATCTACATTTAATCTGAACCTCAATAAATGCTTATTATTAAATGTAATTAATGGTGGGACATCTCTTCATCAGAGTCAATACACTTTGACTAGAGAGGTTCGTGGAGGTGATGCAAGTGACCAATGTCAGCTGAGGTTAATTGTGGCCAGTGCAGGACACAGAAATCAGTTTACTGGTTAATGTCAGTTTCAGGGGTCAGCCACACACAAGTATTTGCAGTTGGTTGAGGCAAGTAAGGTTTTATTCACCCCTTTACGCATAGAATGGAAGTAAATGAGAGAGAAGTATTTGTCAGTGTTGATTCATGTGTGACTCTGCCCCAATTATATATCGATCAGCTAATATCGGCCTATTGCACAATATTCTATCTGTATCAGGGTTTATGTTATCCGATATGTGTAGATATGAAAACTGCCTTTTTTCCCGGTGTACAATGCAGAAAACAATCCCATTAGTCATCTTCTTCCTAAGGCTAACGTCTCTTTTTAAATACAGATGTATATTTAAACATCACCCAACCTGGAGAGACTTCAAATAAGTAACATCTACAAAATTCAAACAACGACAAAATATGACAAAGTAAAATTAGATGTTCAAGTTATATGGACCCTTCCTAAGTCCCGCCCCTCTTTGCTCCAGAAAGAGTTGAGCAAGCCTCAGTCAGCTTCCTCCTTTCCTGTACTTAGATATGCTATGTGCTAGGCTAATCTATGCTGAAAAGACAACCAAAATTTGAAGACGGTGAAAAGATAAAACAGACATATATAGTCACACGTTCTTTTCAACATAGATGAGCCTAGCATGTAGCATATCCAAGTACAGGAGGTTCCAAATGGGCAGGACTAATAAAGGATCAGCTGTTTTTGTTGCCTTGAAATGTTTACACACATTATATCCTCATGAATAAAATGCTCTTGCAGGCACAGCAACAACATAATAGTTTATTGAGTAGATATTCAATATTTGTGACAGTGAATACATAATTAAGTAGAATACACAGGGACACTGACTTTTATTAGAAGAACATTAAGAAAATATTGGTGTAAGTTTTAAGAAGATTTAGAAGCATTTGGGTTATAACAACAAGCCTCCCTGTCTTATTAACAAAGATGGTCAAGTAAAAAAAAAAATTACAGGTTCAAACTCCATCTTCAAGACTGTTAATGACTAACAGACAGACACTAAGGCAAAGCGTGAAAAAAACACATTCACACACACACACCCCCCCCACACCCCCCCCACACACACACACACCACACACACACACCAACACACACACATTCACACACACACACACACACACACACACACACATTCAATACAAATACACTCACACATGCAAATATGACATAAAAAAAAAATGAACGTAATAAAAAGTGAGTCCATATTTCTATGAAAGCTACTGTGTTTCTGAGAGTCGATTAGTGGCTGGCTTTGTCGTAACCTCACAGACTGAGTCAGAGATCAAGAATGGACCAAAACAACGACAGCAGATGCATACTGTCCTTTCACAACGTGTCATGGAGATCCTTGAAGTGCCACTGAAACGGCTACACCGCTCCTCTGAAGCAATTCACTGATTTAGAAATGAAGGAAAAAAGAAAAGATCAAATACTGAGGAAAAGAGGGTCGAAGATGTCATTTCACAGCGCCCGTCAACAAAATGGCTACAATGAAGATTCACACTTCTTAAAAAATGAAAAAAAAAAACGAAACAGGAAGGCTTCTCTCCCTTCCCCTCGCCTCCACTTCCTGTGCTCTCTATGCTGTGCTGTCACTGGCCACCTCTGTGCCTGAGCCTCCAAAAGGGACGCTGGGGTTGGTCTCCATGGCTTGGTAAACCAGGAACAGGAAGGCAGCCACGATGGCCAGCAGGAACAGCTTTATCCATGGAGACACGCTGCGGTGTGCTGCTGCAGTCTGACCTGCAGGGGGAGCTGCAGCCAGATGCCTGGAGGAGGAGGAGGAGGTGGAGAAAGAGGAGGTGGAGGTAGAGGAGTTGAAGGAGGCAGAGAGGGGCAGGCTGTTGACTCTGTTGACGGTGCGGGTCTCTGTGTGGGAGGAGGAGCTGCTGGTCTTGGTGATTTTTGGAGAGAACAGGGAGTTTTCGTCGTTCCACAGATCACTGGACTTGAGCGGACGACCGGCGGCTCCTCGAATGGGTCGTCGACAGGTGGCCCTACAACACAGAAGGATTTATTTCTATCAGTGTAATTTGATTATTCAGTGTTTCTCCTACAGCTTACATTCATTCAGGCTGCCACAGCAATTCAACCTCACATCCCAATGATCCCAGTGAGTTCCACACAGGGAGGTATACAGAGATTACCTTTGGGAAACAATGAGCACTGGTATTGAATTCGTACTCCCTGAGTTGAGTTATGGCAATTGGATCTGTGCATTCCTACTGCTAAAGCTAAAGCTAGCTTATTAATGACATTGACATAGCACAGGAGACAACATCTGGCTCCTCCTAGTGCTTTTAATGGCGTTTGTAAGAATCCACTGGGCCTGAATGAGAATAACCAATCAGACCGACAATCAGCTATCAAGAAAGACAGTTGATCGTACAGTGTTGGGATTTGACTTGGGAATGAGACTCAATCAAATCCTGATGGGTTACTTTTGTTCAGGCGCAGGGAAAACTTGTAAATCTTCGTCATTCAGTGTCGAACCTGTCCTCCCGCTCACACAACATACATCAACATGACTGCGTTTGTTGCCTTCGTCTTCTGGGAGGTTTTATAGCAGTTAGCAATTAGCATTGAAAATGGGATACTGAATATAGAAACAAACTTACATTTAAATTAATACTGAACTTATTCATAGAAGAATTACTTTAGGAATTGAGCATGACTGATATTTTTTAAATTAACTTTTCATGTACCCCCTGTAGTACTCCAAAGTTCCCCCATTTGAGAAACACTGCCTTAAGACATATGACTGCTGGTTGAAAACACCACATTAGGCTCTAGTAACCTGTGATGGGTATTTGTCCCAATGTTTTACCATTAAATAGAACAATGGTCCCCAACCTGCAGGCCACGAGGTCTTGATTTTAAGGCATGCTAGAACTTAAAAATATATACACAGTACGCCTGTACCTAAGCATGTGGTTCACTTCTGTGAACAAAAGCAAATTTCAAGTACATTTTCTAAGAATAATGGCCAAGTGTTGGACAAGAAAACACTGAATTTGTCAAAAAAAGAAAAGAAAAAAGCCTATTAAGTATGATAAAAATGATTTAAAAAAAAAAAAACATACTGAAGAAAGGGAAATACTCTGCTCGAAACTGATCCAAATCATTCATTTTACACAAACGTCCTGCAGTTACTGAGTTCATTGTTTGGGTTCATTGCATTGTTATGAATATAATATGAAATATCCATAAAATATGTCACTGAGTCAGTTTTCTGAATGATAGAAAAGGGGCCCCTGACAGGAAAAAGGTTGCTAGCTGCTGTTACAGACAATTAAAAAAAGCATTAATGGTTACTTACGTGATTCCTGTGGGACTGTTGATGTCATTGGGGAATAGCTCCTTCAGAACTTCATTCTCCTCCACTTTCAGGGGTTGCTCACTGGCTGCAATCTTCTCCACCTAAAGACAAAAAAACAAAAACATGAAGAGGGTGATATAAAGACCAAACATGAGCACATCTCACCAGTGAACTTCAGCAAGATTCTTGTTCCACATCTTTAAGATTCCAATGCAAAGGGAAAATCCCCCCCACTACTTCACTACAACCACCTGTAGGTGCATGTCAGAACCAGCAGAGGGCCTCACTGCCTGATATCAGACACCTCTCACCATGTGACCACTTCAAACAAAAGGCTGGGCCAACCACCATGTTCACTATTGCCAGTGTGACTACCTGTCTCACAAACACGTCCTTGGACAGTGTGGACATGCAGCCGAGCGTCTTCACAGGGCTGCACGTGGACAGGAAGCTGGTGATTTTTTGCTGCCTCCTTTTATGCAGAGGGACATCTGGAGGGGCACACTGCTCCTGCTCACAAACAACGTGTGTTTAACTGTGTGCTAACCGATCAGCTGTCACACAACTGTCTCTCAACAGCCACAGCCACACACAGCCACACACACACACAGTGAGACTTTCCGCTCTTCAAAACAATGCCACATTCAGATACATGCAAGCGAGAAGCACAAGTGAAGAGAAAAGAAGGAAAAGCAGCCACAGATGTTTGAGTAGAGCTGTACCCCTGCTGCAGAGACACCGCCAGGCTTGGATCTGAACTGGTCTGACAGAGACCAGTGGCACTCCTGCCTCTTTATAGGTGAGATGTTACACATGGGGCTAAAGGTGAGTGGGTTGACTCTGGTGGGCCCGGACAACCTGGCAACTGGCCGTGGATTCCGTTCTTCAGGCAGGCTCTATGATAGGTGTACGTGTTCAGAAATGAAGGAAAAAAGGAAGAACTTGCTATTCTAGTAATAGAAATGGCTTCAGTTATATTCCGGTGTAATACAAATTGAACTCTACGCACCCTTGCTGCTGGTCTTAAAGGCTCAATACTTGCCTCAGGTTCCTGAGACACCAACACAACAACAGAGAATGAATCAGGATCAGAAAGTGATGAGTGTCGGTTACTAATGAACAGAACAGGAAGGTCAATTGTATTCATGTTGGGCTGTTACTCCATTGGCTTAATAAGGCTGGTATCGGTGCTGGAACTGGTCCGACTGACTGGATCCATAATTTTGCGGGTTCAGGTTTATGCTCTTCAGACTTGAAACAATGAACCACCCCACCAACTGTGTTTAGATGCCCCAGCTTAAATAAAGCAGTGTTTGCCTTTCAGTGCTGTGTGTTTTGTTCACCACCCCACAATACACCATTACGGGACAGAGTTTCACCTGCTGGACTCTGAAGTAGCAAGGCATCAACAAATCAATCAAACCTGAGAATTTTCAATGAATGGTACCAAGGAATGAATTGGATTGAACCAAACAGGCCAAAAAGTTCCTGATGGCTGTTCTAGTCTATTGTGACAAAGAATTAAGTGGAATGAAACCCATTCGTGACCACCTGCAAATATTTTCCAACCACCCATGGGTGCATTTTGAGATGACAAAAAGCAGAGTATGCCTGAAGGAGACACACTCTTCAACAGACCAGTGAGTCCATGCAGGTTTCAGTGAGTAAACAGTGTCTCCCAGTGGCCACAGCCCAGAACTACCTGAAAAGGTCTGGTTGAGGTCGCGGGAGGTTCAGCCCGAGCTGGACTATCCCGCCTGTGAGAAAGCCTCCTGTTAGACTGCAACTGGACCTGGTCTGTCAAAACAGGCCTGAGATCCTCAGTCACTATCTGCTGAGACATAAAAGGCAGGAGGCAAGGACAAAGCACAGAAAGAAAAGAGGACAGGAAGCAATAAATTCAGGAAGAGTGGACAAGTAAGAGAGAAGAGGAAGTGCAGTGAATGATGAAGTAAAGATGAGCAAGCAAGATCATTTTAACTGGATTGTTTTCACGTAAAACCTACAAAGAAATGATTTTTAGGTGATCCAGATTTGTAGGTAGGATCTGTGCTTTTTGTCTTTTGCAGTGCCATAATGAATGTGGATATCTACACTGCAGTTATCAGTGAACACTAAACAAAAGCTTAAAAATAAAAATCTGACAAAGAAAGTGAGTGGTGGTAGTGGCAGTAAAGATTGGACTTAGAATTTTAGTCTTGGTATTTTACAGTTTGATAATGCATGCTGTATTGTTAGCTAGTAACTGTAAGTTAGGAGAATGTACAGAAGAGAGTGAGCTCAATCTGAGCACATACACCTCTTTGAAGCTAGGTGTGAAGCAGGTGGACAGAGATCTCTGGCCAGGTGTGAACACCAGTGGGTTTTAGTCAGTTACAGTGCTGGTGTGTGGAGGAAGGGGTGGGGCTGGTACAGTATTCACCGCTGTGTGGGACGACCTCCTGGATCTGCGCTTTACTTGCAGGACAGGCTCTTCATCATCATCGTCCTCATCCATCAACTGGTCTCTCTGCACACATGGTATGCACATACCAGCAGACTGTGAGAATACCAGTGTTTGACTTATAGCCCGTTTATCACCATTTGTGTTTGCTTTAACTTCAGTCCAGATATTCTTCAAGGCATACCCATATGTGGCGCAGCACCCATTCATTGGAAGCTATAAACAGTAGAACTATGTCCTATATGTAGTGGAGTTGTTTACTTACATTATCTCAAATGTTTCAAATGAAGTCATTTTATTCAGGTAACGCTGCGTTTCACTGGTTCAATTATATCCCCTTTGCACATGTGTCAGTGTCTGCCACTTTTTAGATCTTGGTGGTTTGTAACTCTGTATTTGGCTTCATAGTCAACAAATAATATTTTATTTTATCTTTTCTACCTAATACCTACCTTAATAGATTACATTCTAATCTAAAGTCTATCTCTATAATATGTGCTCCATGCAACCAAGCACTAGGAATAGGAAGTGATAACATTCTTTTGATATCAATGCCATTATTAATTCTGCTCATCAGTCCGCCTCTTCATCGGTTCCTTTATTGATTCTTCATCAGTTTTCTGTGTGGAAAAAAGTAGGCCCACACAGGTTTACTGGTTCTCAACTGGAACTGGTTCTTGATTCCCATTCCTATCAAGCACACATCATGGGTATGCACCTGTGTTGAGACTCCTAATATTTTAATACATGTCTAATATCTTTCTTGTGTTGTTCTTTCATATAACTAAGACTACAGACGTGTAAAAAATAGGCTACGTCTAATTATTTCAATAGACATGTATGAGGGGGTCCCTGGTATGTTCTCTATTTTGTAAGGTGGTCCTTAGTTGAATCCTGTGGTATAGATGGTGTTTACACCATCTATTAACTACAATCTAACACCCTCCACCTTTAGATTTACTGGCAGTCTTACTGAGCTGAAAACTCTCTCCTGACACCTTCGGTTTCAAAAATGCTGCTAAAACTAAGAAAAAAATCTTATTTCAGTACACATTTTAATCTTACTCAGCAGAAAAGTGCATTCTTGCACTGTGATATGCTAATTTCCCAACTCAGCTCATTGAGTTGCTCCACAAGGAAATAATCAAACATTATGCACCAAGCCATTAATGAAGCAAAATTGTGATGGGGGCTTTTGATTACTTTGACTATTTATGGACTGAATGATAAATGATCCTAAATGATTGAAAAAGAATACGCAGATTAAACAATAAAAGCTTTAGCCCTAACTACAGAAACTTTTCCCAAACCAAACTAATGCCTCATGTTCACTATGGGATTATCAAGCTTAGACCATTTTTATTGGTTTATTGGTTATTTTTATTTTGAGAGTAATAGTCCTATTTATTAATAGCCAAAAAATGTGTCTCTGCGCCTTTACCATCTGTACAACATAATACGTCCCTAATATGTCCATCCCAAAGAACTGATTTAGTATAAAAGGAGAAGCAGCAGAGGGATGGACAGACAGCCAACAGGTAAATGTAGAGTGGACGGAAGGACCAGAAGATTACATGTACAGAACCTATTTACTACAATGCAGCAACACTGCAATGCACTAGAAATGCAAAAACTGCAATATGCAACCAAGAATCGCAGGCAGCAAAGGTATAATATACCACAGATGCCTTCATGTATAAGCAAAATGCAGCATATGTATAACAAGAAAATGCACAGAAATCTTGTAATGAGAGGAAAACTAGTCCTGATAAAGTAAACAGAAAGGGACAACCAGCTCATTTCTTCAGCTTCATTTAAAGGAAATGGAGTAATTAAAATGCACACACTTTTTATTTCACAGAAGAAGAGGGAACTGTTTGCCACAGCAAAAGGTCACATGAGAAACTCAATTCATTACCTTCACCTAATGAGATTAGATCAGTAAGAGCAGTGGAACATATCATCTACCTATAAAATACAGAATACCATCACTGTGTTTACTGAAAAGTTCATAGCGAGAAAGCAGGAGAAAAACACGCACACCTACACACCCCTACACCTACACCAACCTACACACACACCTCTAGCTCCTCCTACACAGCTCACATCAGATCATTGTTGGCAGCCCCCCAGTTTCCACTGCCTCAAGGCCTCGGCTCAACAGGTCCACATTCACAGTGTGGACAGCAGGAGGAGCTGCTCAGTCAAATTCCGAGAGGTTACCTTCAACAGGCTGCTGGACAACAGCCCCTCACATAAAAGAGGCTGAACATCCAGCATGTGCATGGCAGCAGCTAATCCACGTCACGTGCTTTGAGTCTGACATGCAGCACGGATACACTGAACCTACAGACTCTCACTGAGTGTGACTTCGCTCCAATAAAAAAAAAACCCCAAAAAACGCTTCCTTTGCCAGTGTCAGAGGAAACGGTATAATCAACCCCAGCTGCTGGGAGTCCCATCCTACCAGCTTAACTACACACCGCACACCAATGTCTGCACTGCTGCTTAGCCTCGTGGAGGTGGACAGTGGTACAACTGCTCAAGATGCTATAATGAACTGGCTTTCTTTGCAATATTTGGCTCAGACTTAATCCATGCTGTCTGCAGCTTGTAATGTAAAAGGCTGCTTATTGAGAGTAAAATGTAAGTACTTTGAAAGCACTTTCAAGGTACCACAGATTTCCAATCTTATCACATCTAAATTGTTACTATAAATGCAATTAGAAAAAAAGTTACACACACACACACACACACACACACACACACACACACACACACACACACACACACACACACACACACACACACACACACACACACACACACACACACACACACACACACACACACACACACACACACACACACACACACACACACACACACACACACACACACAGCAATGAGGAAGAACATTCAACAGGAAATCTGATTTTAATTCTACTTAAAATATGAGCCCAAAAAAAGGGAAATAACTCCTCTTCCTAGGAAGACATAGCTACTCTTAGGTCACTCCCACCCCTGAAGTTCAGTTCACTTGGTACAGGCCAAATGAAAAACACCGTTGCCTTTTAGTTCTGGTGTGGTTCGTGTTTAAACTGATTTATTGACCTTGTCCTCGTGTAGACATGAGCTAAACATGGGAGATATTAAATAATACAGGTCTTCCGCAGATATTGGTATATCCAATCCATCAGTGGATCTCAGCACTGATTACTGTGTAATATAGATACACTTGAGAATCGCAATATTTTGTCTTGTGATTGTTTTGATTCTCAAAAACACTGAACTGATTTTGGTGTTTAACCCTCAACTGCTAGGTAGCAGTGTTGTAAACTGAGGGCTGAGATGTTGGATGTGTCTTTCCTTGCTTATAGTATCGCAATATACGGTACTGAATTGTGGCCCCGCATCGTGATACGTTGTATTGCCAGATTCTTTCCATTAGCCTTAATTACTGTAGTACAGAGAGAAACTGCAGGTGGCTCAGAACAGAAACATTACAATTTGCTTTCAATCACATGCTTTTCAAACCTGTAATTTCAACAGGAAATATACAGCTCCTCTATCATTCAGGTTAACAGTTTGCCAAGCACTGAAACTGTCAACATCCAAACTACTGCTGCTATAAACATCAGTAAATTTGTTGTCCGCTAAACACCACTCACACATTTTTATCAAGTCATGAAATACAACAGCAGAGAAGTTGCATTTGCCATAAATAAATAATATGATAACTGTGGCAACAGATGGTGTACTGGAAACCAGGATGAAGTATGAAGTAGCCCCAAGTGGCCTTCCCTCAAAAAAGGCCCACAGGTAGGAAACAGTCCATATAAAGGTGTGTAGATGACGTGTTTTTATCACGGTGAGTAAATAAAGCTGAGGAGGACCTGATGTTGAACACGTTTCTTACCGTGTGGTGCTGGCTGCTGCGGGTGCGGGTGGTGACAGGCGTCTTCCCTCGGCTCCTCAGCGGTCTCTCTACCACTGGAACTGGTTCAGGTTCTGCCACAGGCTCTGGTTCTGGTGCTGCTGTGACTTCTGACAAAACACAGTACAGCCTGATTAGTTTATGTCTATGAGTTGGTTTGTTGCGCTCCAAGCAGCCATCAGTTTTCATTTCAGTACAGTAAAGAAACTTGCACAAATCATTCACCTACATCTTTGTTATCAAAGATACACTGTCATCCTGAAATGCACACAGTGCCTTGCCAGTTCACTAAATCTAAAGTATAGTTTCTAATTTCTCCTCACTGCTGGCAATGTTGACTGGCTACAAGCAAGACTCTGAAATTAGCACCCCTACGTACTAAATTGAATCGCGAGATGCTAAAAGATTCACACCGCTACAAGGTTTTTTGTAAATAGATTACCTATACATACTAGCGTATAAACCTTAAACCTACCGCAGTCATGCACATATAATCAGTATGAATGGTGCCACTGTTCTTACCATCCTCCTTGTCGCTGTACAGGTCTGATTCGGAGTTGCCGTTGTGGTTGACTTGTATGTCTGTGAGGACCAGCTGTGGCAGCGGCGGCTGTGTGGGACCGTCATCCAGCAGCTTCTGCAGTTTCTTCTCATACAGCTTACGGGTGGAGGCTGGGAGGATGAGCAGAGGGGAGACATTTAATTAAATTTTTACTAATGTCACTAAACTTAAAGCTACAATAGGTATTATAGATAAACAGATTAAAGCTGTGGAACAATGTTAGCGCTCTCCTTTGTGAATTTTGGGAAGATGGTGAAAAAGTTTGTTTCCAGTCCTGTACTGTAACTATCAGACATCGTGCTGTAGACGCTTCGGACATACTGTACCACGCTCTCCATTAGATACCAGTCAAGTTCTGAAATCTACAGCAGAACCCAATGTATTTTTCTATTTCATCAATTAATTAAGAAATGCATCTGAACAGCATGTTATGATAACCATGTATATTAGATTATGTGCATGAATAATGACATTATACATGACTTGCCTTGTTTTGGTCACCCTGCTCTCCATATATCGCCATTGGCCAAAAACCCACATCGGTTGACCACTATTATCTACGAAGTGATTTCCAGAGAAAGAAATCCTCCACACAAACATTTGGACTAAACATATTGCATCAGGTCACAGACATGCTCTCCTCAACAACTGCATGGCTCTCAATGGCTCTCTCAGTAACACCTTTATACTCTGCCTCATGAAGGTCAGTGTGCTTTCAAGCCAATACTCTGAGATTACGCTTGAACCTCAGCCAGTGGAAGTTCAGTATACTCACTGAGCTGCAGAGAAGAATGGAACATTGAATGTTACATTTTCGTCTACGCGGCCGTGCAACAAAAGCAGCATGTGAGCAGTAGGGGTGGGCGATATGGGCAAAAAATAATATCTCAATATTTGTTGGGATTTTGGCGATAACGATAATCAGTCGATATCCTTTAAAATGTGATTAGAATTGTCTGAGCTGGACTTGTGTCCACCAAACGTGTTTTTAGCACTGAGAGAGCTCAAAAACTCATTTTCCGAGTGCCCAGCAGTGTTAAAAGTTGAACAGATTTCAACTTGAAGCGCTCTGAGCGCTGCGCTAAAAAAACCCGTCTCCGCTGACATCTTTTTACCGCTGAAGGCGCTTAGCGCTCTGAACGCTGAAGCCCATAGGACCCACGTCTCGGCACTAAATCATCTGAAGTACCGGTAGCTTCAGGGACTGGAGGTGTTTGCATTTTCTCTCTACCATCGCAACGCGCTGCTAAACTGTTGCAAGGGGGATGCTAGCGAGAGGTCACGTGATCACGTCATGTGATCACGTAGGCCCACTAGTTGTGTGACTGAATCCTGCCATGCTGTAGAGAGCGTTGCTGCACCGTGTATTAATGAATGTGAGGAGTTTCCGCGGGCGTTTCATTGTTTTTGTCGAAGTAATTTAAATACTCGATAATGGTCAAAACAACAACGACGATATTATCGCAAACGATATATATCGCCCACCTCTAGTGAGCAGCACTAGAAACAACAACTGCAGTCCTCAGTCAGTGTGTGCGCTGCATCTGTTCAGCCACATTTAACTTGAACTCAGAAGAAGACAATAACCCTAAGGATAGAGAATACCACAAACAACATTTACTTAAGTCTTTTATTTTTCACCATGCAAATCTTGACAATATTTATTATTATTTTTTATTTCATACCCTAAGTGATATCACTTTCTGCAGTGTGCATGGCTACATTTTTAGAGTCTTTTGTATGTGGTAATATGAGAACTAAAGAAAAATCCTGACCAGCAGCATTGGCAACTAGCTAGGCAACTCACTACTCACTAATTTCAGTGGAAGCATGCCTGCCACAAACTGACAGTGTAGTAAACAAGTATTTCCTATTTGGCTGACATACCTTTATTAACCTCAACAACAGAGACTGATCTCTATTGATACAGGCCTTTATTACTAGATCACAAATTCTCCCTGTCGCATGTATATTAAACCAGGAAAACGCTGATAAAACTGATAAAATAAGTGTATACACCATTTTAGTACAAATCCTGCCTGTTTTGTTTTTAAACAACTATTTCTATATGTTAAATTTTATTTGTATAGCGCCAAATCATAACATGAATCATAACAGAAGTTATCTCAGGACACTTTTCAAATAGAGCAGGTCTAGAACAAACTCCTTATAACATTATTTACAGAGACCCAACAGTTCCAGTTTGGGGGGGGAAGTATGACTGTTGTACTGATGGAATTAGTGCTGTGTTGGCCTTTCATTTGTTTTAGATGACTGTTATTTATCTGATATTAGAATACCAGCGTTTACCTGTGAATTTAAGATGTGTCTCACACTATGTTATACTAATTGACCAACACGTTCCAGAGCAATCACCTCCAGAATGGTTCATGCTATTGGCTGTCAGCTTGTAAATTCTATCACCTGTGTGCAGTGTGTAGCACCGACACTCCACATCCCTGCGTGTGCTGACAGCAGATGTCACCTCAGTCTTTGACCTCACGTGACTTTGCTGCCGGTTCTACTAACTCACCAACGATGGGCCCCGCTTCCACTCCGTGCTTGAGCAGCTCGTCCTTCAGGTCCTGGTCGGTCAGCACGGTCACATCCAGCTCGTCCGGCAGAACCTTGTCTGTTTTCCTGGTGGCTTTCTGCAGGGAGGAGGACAGGGCAGCCTCGTTGGAAAAGGCAATGATAAACTCCACTCATAAAAAAAGCTCATCAGAGTTAGGTCAGGGACTGTCATGGATTTATTTTTGTCCTGGGGCAATGTAATCAGCAAGTAATGACATCAAGAGAGTCAGGCGACAGACAGTGTTGTTGTTTGTGCACTGCTTGCTAACATAATACAATGTTTACATATGACACTCTAGGTCCATCTCTACAGCAAATTGTCTTTTCTGGGATGTTTTATGATTGTATGTTCAAGCATTGTGAGTAACAGGCAAAAAACAAACAAATAGGGAAGTCAGTAACACAACTGGCTGCTCAGTTCACACCCTAAAGTCCAAATGGACACTATTCCACCCTGCCCACATTAACCTCCAAACATCCCCTCTGAACTTGTGCCTTTAGACAGCCTATTCTCTCTCAGAGGAGAGCTTTGTTTGTTGAGCTTTCAGACGGTTACAGAAACCTGTTTACCAGGTTGCTAATTATACACAACGTGGCTGTCAATGAGCATTACCGTTTGCCTGTTTAAAAAAGGCAGGAAAAATATGTGAAAAATCCCCAGCTACTTCATTCCATGCCTGGTCTTTAAACAGATGTGTGGAAGCACATGTGAGATGTGTATTCATGCACACAATCACTTGATATGTGAGAAGCTTTAGCTTGAGTTTCATTCAATTTCCTAAGATAGAAGTGAAGCCACATAAAAAAAATAAATAAAAAAAAAAGAGCGGGGAAAAAGTGGCACTATGTAAGCAGATGCTGCAGGCGCTTGATAGTAAACAACGTGCTGGCCTGAAGCCGTCCTACACACACACCAGCCAACAGGAAATTACTCCGTCTTTGAAGCCAGCTGCCTCTGAAATGAAGGCCTGCATCTCATCCTTTGCTCACAGCCAAAGGAGGCTGTGCCTCTGTGCAAATAAAGTATACAAGCATAAAATGTTCTGCTCAAACACAATGTGAGCATACCAGTTACATATGCTGCCATGTTTTAAAGGATCATATTTTGAAAAAACTGAACTGTGGTGCACAGAAATTTGCTCCCATGGTTGCCCAAGTTTCTGTTTTGGTTCCCTGATATAATCTAAAATGGACACAGACATGGTGTGCAGGCTGGTAAGTGGAAGCACACGTGATTCTGTACTACACTGGGTGTCTGTGTGCAGTCAGTGAGCTTGTAGGCGAGTACAATCCATGTGGTCATGAACTCTGGGCAGACACATAACAGCCTCAAAGACTGGAGAAGTGACAGGATGCCAGTCCTTGTCAAGTGAACCTTCAGAACACATCCCGGTGCTGCTAAAGGCAGCCTGTGAGAATATGAGGCTGAGAAAGGTTTGACTTTGTTATCAGCCACGCAGGAGCAACACCAGAGAGCGTTCATTTTGATTCCCACAACGACCATGACTGAAACACACGGAGTAAACAAGCCACTGAGAGCGTGTGTAAATAACTCATCGTACACATGGCCCTGAAAGCCTCAGACTCATTAGAGGGAAGAGACAATGTGCCTTTTCATATCTGTACACAACATGTCTTGCTGCTCAGCTCAACACCTCCTGCAGCTGCTTCACAGTAAAACCAATCATCCCCTTTCTGCTTCGCTTTGACCAGTAGAGTACCTGCATGTTTTATTTAGGGGGCTACAATATTTCTACCCTTGGGCCGTCATGATAACCGCAATAATGAAATACAGTGCTACTGACAAGCCAGCAGCAGGGGATGGTAAACCACCACCACCACCACGGCATGTTATGTCTCGTCATCATGTCATGTTCAGTATTTGTTTTTCAGCTTTCGAATATGTTAATTAACTTCTAATTTCACTATTATTTAATTGACAGCCCAATGACTGAATGTATAATAACTATTCCATTCACAGGTTTCACAGTCCTCACTGTTAATCTTCCTAGCTACTTTGAATCACTGCAGAGGAAACTCCTTCACCACAACAGCCCTACTTTACCCACAAGCTAAAGATGCCAGACACATCCGCCAGTATGGTTTTCCATATTGTGGGTCGACTGAAGAATGTCCTGTTTTCACTTCATTTCCTTCACAATGTGGCCTCGCATTGATATTTCCCTGGATCAGGTCTACATCACTGTACTACCTGTGTTGTTGAGCTGAGGTTACAAAACAGTTCTGTAAACACAGTATGTCTCATTTCTTATAAAAGCACACAGACAATATCATTCCTTCCACACATACGCTTATATTTTAGCTACAGATGAAATCCTTACTGCATATGTGTTTCTAAAAAATAGCTGCAATTATTTTCATTATTTATTGAGCCGTCAATAATTTTCAATTAATCAACGGATTAGTTGTTTGTCCCAGAAAATGTTGATCGGTGTTACCCTAAGTCCTTGAATGTCTGTCCACACCCCAAGCACATTCTGTACTGAGTACTGAAGAAAGCAGAAAATGTTACATTGAGAAGCTGAAATCAGAGAATTGACTTTTTGAAAAAACTGTTCAAAATAGTTGGCGATTAATTTAATAGAAGTTAATAGGCCAATCACAGATCCCCATTGTTTATCGGAGGAACCGCTTCTCCTTGTTTATACTCTAAATGATTAGCTTTCTGATTTCTAAATAGTAGTAAGTAATAAGTTTTAGCTACTTCCTATGGAAAAGAGATGGCAACACTGGAGCCAGGGAGTGTATGTCTGTGGAATGCATGAATGTAGAAATGGTGTGGGAAACAATGGGAACCATATTACAGACTGCACTTCTGTTCCGAATCCATTGGAGACATTCTGCTGTTTGACTGAAGCCAGCTGAGCAGAGTGTGAGAGGTAGAGAAAGCACATTCAAGCTAAAACACCAAAACTACCTATTGTTATCCAATGACTAGAAAAGATCCACTCTTAAAGTGGCCGTGGTCTTCCAGTCAACATCTGGCTCTACGGTGACTCTGCCGGCAACCAATCAGACAGAAAATGTGAGGAATGCCAAGATAATAATCTCAACTTCAGTGGTAAGGTGCTGCCACGCTTCACAGCATGTAACACATGGGAGAGACTCACAGAGAGAGGCTGTCTCTTACTCTCGCTCTGCGTCTGGCTCTCGGTGGGCCCTCGGCAGGGTTCGGCCTGGACATGAGCCAGGCTGTTTCATAATATCGGCAGCCTGAGCTCGGAGAGCGCGGGAGAAGAAGGGGAGGAGGGGAAGAAGGCAGACCACACCCTGGCCTTTAAAGGCATAACTGAACCCTGAGCTCACAGCTAGGCCCGGCCTCGGCTCTGTGGAGTAAACTTACAACAAATGCTGTCAGACTTTCCTCTACGACTGCTCACTAGAGTCTGCAGGGAGTAGTGTGAGGGTGAGACATGCCAGGACCTGCAGCTGCATGATGTAACTCACTGCTTGGCTGAGTAACAATGGAGTATGCCGTGTTTCCTCTAGGATTTTCTTTTAGCAGTGGGGACAGGCCCGTCCGAACACGTACACCCCCCCCCCAATCACGCCGGCAAACGTTTTACATATGAAACAGAGCTGACACTTCGCTGCGACACAAACAAATATATTTACCGTTTTAATGTTTCCAGATGTTTGATATCAGGACGTTGAGCTGAGAACTGACAAGTTGAACATTGTCCAATTAAAACGGACCCACCGCGGTGACGTTTTTGGTGGAGCTGTTAGTTTAATAGTCGACTTGGAAGAAGAAGAAACGTTTTGACAATAAGCTCCATCAACACAACAGTATGTGGAGTTAAACTGGACAGCCCCAATAACCTCTGAATAGTTCTACTTGTTGTTAAATTGCAATGTGAGCGGCAGCCAACGGGGGTGCATTATGTCGGCAGGATCATTTAAAAGGCAACCGTGACTACATTGGGTGTCTGCCCCATTTCTGATACCGTGGCGGCAGAAATTTAACAGCGGCGGCCGCTCCAAAATCAACTTAGAGGAAACACTGGTATGTATGGTTAGCCATAACTTACTCTGCTAAGATTAACCACGACCGTTTGCATTATTGGTGTCACACATTCCTCATGCTTTACAGCCAGTTCTTCTCAATCTCACCCACAGTGTTACAAGGGGAGAAACTTCAAGCAAGAATGTGAGCCTTTAAGGTTCACTTTGAAAAGCCTCTCTAACTTCACCTAGCCATTTCAAAAATGTAAGGAATGAATTTTTGAGCTGTGTGCCCACCTCCACATCCAACACTCCACCTCCACATCTGCAGCCAGTAATTACTGAGACATGTGAGCATCAGGTTTCACAAGATAAACAACCTCAACACTACAACACCTTAGAAAACAAAGGACAAACTAATTACACATAAGTCACGTCTTTCCACAGCCCTCGACTTTTTACTACACACATACACACGTGGTGGCAGTCTGAGCACAAATTCCTTTTCCTGAGATAGGTATTTCCTCAATGAAGGAAAACGGCCAAACCCATAAAGATAAAAGCAGCTGCTGCTATAGAAAACGATTTTACACAAACACACCCCTAAATCGGCATAAATCATACAATTTTGTCACCCTAACGGGAGACACTCTACAGCATGGTCACTGGCAGAAAGTCTTCCATACACAAGAGGTACAAAATCAGAGTTCAAGAGGGGAATTCTTCATTCTTTCTTCAGAGTGACAAAACGGGACTTAACAATGGCTGAACCCATGGCAGATAGACTGTTCAGTGAATTCTTAAAAAAAACAAAGAAAAAAATGCAGACAGTACACCCCTGCTCTATAAGCAAACAAAATTACTGTGTATCTAATTACAATTTAGCAAAAAACATGAGCATTTAGAACAATGGTTCTGTCTTGTCACAATATCAGAATTTTAAATTACAATACTACTTTAAAAAAAAAAAATAAAATACATACTCTATACCTCTTTTGATATCATGGCAAAAAGAAAACAGAAGTCCTAGGCACGCAAAATGAAAACATCCTGCACACAGAGCTGGTACAGAAAAAGTCACTGAACACAAATTTACATAACTAATTTGTAATCATTTTCATAGAAAGTCATATCATGATTTTCTTAGCTTAGCGATCTCAGCAGGACTGATAAATAATAATGACCCGATACATTTTGGGAGTCCTCGACACCAAAAAGGTTGACAACACCACACTGAAAACTGTTCTACTAAAACATGAACCCTCATGGAAGAGTGCAGAGGTGACACTGATCATGAGAGAGATGAATCAGGATCTGGTTAACTTGCCTCCCTTGCTTGACCCTTTCCTAGGGAAACCCTGTACAGATCAGACAGACGGACAGGGCTGCAGGAGTGCTTTAAGTACGTTCTTCTATAAAGCTGGGTCACTGCTGATCTAAATACATTGTTCTGCTGTGAATCCAAGCTGCCTGACACAAATGTGTCCGAATGGTGGACTAGAATAGAGCACAGAGAGGTTTCAGGCCTTCCATTGGTCCCACCCTGTCCCGTAACCTTTTTCTGGATGCGTTGCGAACCAGTGGTTAATTAAGTGTGGATAAAGAATTAACGTTACAGCCTTTGCTGTCTTTGTCTATGCTATCAGCTGTTGTGCAGTGCCTGCGGATGCACGCTGTATTAATGTTACCTGCTAATGCATCATCCGGCAGTCTGTAAGGCCATATCTTGGGTTTGAGTTTGAGACCCTAGAGCTATTCTAAGGTCTATTTTTCCAGTTACAAGTAATCAAGACCATCCCAGGTTCCAATTACAGTGAATCATACTGTTATTATTTTAACAGATATTGCAATACGATTCAAAAGTAGTTTGGGAATTAGCATTTTTACATCCCAAACTAGAGCTTCACTTAAAAAAATAACTATTAGTTGTTCCTAGGGTTCCACATAATCATTGTGGGTCTCAAGTATGTCTAAGAGCAGACTGGCAAATGGCTTTGATCACATGGTGAGACATTTAATTCTCAATGAATTGTTCAGCCAGCCATCAGAAAAATATCCATTGTAATAAAAAATACCAGCACTTTGTGATTTGGTTTCTTAGAGCACATATGCAGAATGTTACGGGACATAACCCAACAGTAAACCTGTGTGTCAGTCCACCACCTCCCAGCATTCTTCTTACTACACCTTTACCTTATCTCTCCATCATACCACAGACTTTACAATTCAGAGATTCAATGTTCCCCTTTAGAAATAAACACACACACAATCAACTGGTGAGACTAGTCTGGCTTGTGATGCTAACAGTAAACAACATCCCCTTTCCCTGCCAGCATTTATTCATCATCTGGAAACTCGTGAAAGATTGATGGTCTTCACTGTCCACACCTCACAGCAGAGCAGCTGCTGTTCAGAACAAACAGCCAGATGACCTTTACCTGACTGCTCCCAATAAACACACCTGACGCGAGTTCAGAGAAGAACAGCAAGGAATGCAAATCCTCACAGGTATAGAAAATATGCAGTGTAACACCTGTACACACGTGTGTCATTTCCCAGTCATATCCTTTGTTTTGCTCACACCCTTCACCCCCCCCAAACAAGTCCAGACTGGACAGGTGGTGCTTGCACACCTGTTTGAGTCCAAATCCAGATCAGAGAAACACACATTTTACATTAGAACTCACTACAGTGTGTGAGTGCATATTTGGCCATTAAAAGGCATTCACAGACAGAGCCCAGACACACAGCACATCACACTGCAAAGGAAATATGAAATGAAAGAATATTATGAGTGCAATAAAAAACTAAAGTATGCATGAAACAAATGATTGAAAAAAGAATGACCAAAAAGTGAAACTCTTTCATTTCTAAACATGCTTACTTGCTACTGGGTTAGTTGACAAGTATTAAATAAATCTGCAACTGAAAAGTCCAAATTCTGATTTCAGCTTCTCAATTGTGCATATTCTCTGCTTTCTTTAGTCCTCTGACAGTAAACTGAATATCTTTGGGTTGTGGACACCTTGAGCTTTGGGGAACTAGCAATCAATATTTCCTGACATTTTATGGACCAAACAATTAATAGTTTAATTGAGAAAATGATTGACAGATTAATCAAGAATGAAAACAATGGTTAATTGCAGCCTTATTGCCAATACACAGCTCTACGTAATACTGCCTGAGTTTCTGTACCAGTACCCAACATTTCCTTTATCTCACAGCCAAAGTGCTCAAACATTTCATGATACTTTGTGTTAAAGTTCACTATAAGTATTGAGGGTAAATACCAAGCCCTAACACTGGGGTTCTGGGAACCTAAAAAGGCCAATCGTCACTTTCATAGAACATGCAAAAATGTTCCCTTTACAGCAGTAATCCTCTGGGCACATTTCGAGGGGTCAGCAGGCATTAGGAGTCCTGCTTCAGGGGACAACTTTTGATCTGCTCCTGTTCGAGGCTTCTGAAGTGAGCAGGTAGTCACTGGCTGGGGCCCAATCATCATTAAAACAGAGAGAGGCTGAGAAACTGAGACCATACACCCTACACAACACTCTTCTCCTACAGAAACTCCATTCCTCCTAACAACACAAACACCCATCAGTCCCTTTCTTTGTGATTTAACAGTTTCTGTATCTCGGTGGATTTCACTTCATGTAACAACAACAAAACCAACAACAACAACAACAACAACAGGTAGAGCAGTCACTCTATTCGTCCACTCAAAACACAAACTGATTCAATTATCATGTCAAAGAGTGAATGATTAACTGGCCAAGTCAGCAAAACCCCACCCGGTCCTCAGTTCAGATACACACACTGATAATCCGCTCCGATCAGTGGCGAGGTCTGTGGCTGCTGTAGGTTTGTTGTTACTAACAATGGTGACAACATTCCTCCAACATGAAGTAAAAGAAGAACAGTTTTGGGGGGGGAGAAGTGAAAGCTGAAACATCTGAATGTGGTTTAGTACTGAAGTGACCAGGGTTTGCCCACAGATTCATTTATGAGACTTTGATTTAAAGCTAGCAATTTCAAATCTGCCGGAGGTCATTTTCATAAAATTAGTTTTTGTCATTATTTCTGAAATGTTCACTGTGTTGTGATAGTGGTACATTAGACAGATAATCAGGTTCTCCTGGTTTGTTTTGGTGTCTTTATATCTTCTCAGCCTGGTGGATTCTTGCAAATAAGAGCACTAGAACGAACCAGATTTCTTTTTTTTCCACAGATTATCTGTCTCATGTACTACTGTCAGGATAAAAAGTGTTAAAAGTTTCAGTGAATATGTCAAAAAGTTATTTTCATAAAATTACCTACAGCAGCTTAAAGGAGAATAGAATGCATCCCCTAGGAAAATGATTGACAGTCCAATTTCAAAATAGTGTCCTTGAGGGTAAACTGGCGAATGGAAGCATATGGTCCTATGCTCTACGGGAAGCAATGGGACTTTTTTGGGCGGGGACCCCTGGCCAAAAAAGTCCTGTTGATTTAGAGTCTGTGGTCAAAGCAGATGTTGTATTCTTTAGTGAAAAGAATAGTTTATTCATTGATCAGTTACTGCGTGTTGGGCAAAGTTCGAAGTAGTTTAAAGCACCTGCTAACTTTTAAATTGACCACGTTAGAGAGGATAAATGGTTAGAGGTGTACATATGAGCACATGGACAACAGTAAATTACAGAATTGGGGAAGTCCAAACAAACTAATTCACTACTTTTCAAGTAAAGTTAGCGAAAGCTGCTTCCTAGAGCTATGTAACGGTGTTCTCCTGTAAATTCAATTACTTCCGAAACCAAAACTTACTCTGCCGGAGGAGCGACTTCTGTTGGAGACGACGGGCGGCGGCAGCTCCTCGTCGCTGGAGAAGGCGTCCAGAGTCGTGGCCGTGACATGTTTGTTGTTCTGCGCGGTCAGGTTATTCAGATAAAGCTGCACATACACGTCTTTGGTCGGGTTGCCGCTCGGTAGCTCCACGTTGTGGGCCAACAGCTCGCTCTTCAGCTTGTCCTTGGTGAGCACAGACGGGTCGTCCAGGTACTCCGGCATGTCGGCGTGCAGATGGAGGGCAGCTACCGTCGCCTGGGTAAAGTTAGCTAGCTAACACTGAGGGGAGGTTCGGTCTGAGCGGAGCGGCTAACCAGCGCCTCTTACTGGATTTAATTCGCAAAACAAATACCAGCTAAAGGGCTAAAAGTGTCTGAAACAAAACAAGGAAGAAAAAAAGGAAATGAATATGACTTTCTGTCACTGCTGTCCCTTCTTTGCTCCGCGCAGAAAAATGGAGAACTGAAATTGGTCCTCTGTGAGCGGCTGTTTCGGGTGAAATCAGCACCGGGCTGCTGCTACTCATGGGGATGACCCGGGCCGGAAGTGACTGCTTGTACAGACCGGCTCCTATTGGTCAGAGGCCGTTCAAGGGAGCTTCCTCATTGGCGGAACAAACACGCAACTATTGAAAATGAACCGCACGTCACATGGTCGACACTGTTCAATCTGTTTTGAGGGAAGAATATGAAGATACAACCTCAAAATAACGCGAGAAAGTAGTTTTACAATGGCGTCCTCGCTAAAGTCTTTTTAATTTGTTTTACGTTAGTGTGTAAGTGAAAGAAGTGTTTGTACATTACACATTTGCAATAAAAACTAACACATGACCCCAGTCATCGCCATGTGGCACAGGTGAAAAAAAATGAAAGATCCACTCAGACATGTACAAATGATCTGCTTGGAACAATAATGTGTCTAATATGTTACCAAAAAGTAAGTTTCTGCATTGAAATCCTTAAAAAGTAATCTCCTCCTTCTACCTCATTAACACTCATAACTGTGTGTGTGTGTGTATGTGTGTGTGTGTGAGAGAGAGAGAGAGAGAGAGAGAGAGAGATTGTCTTAACTAATCACTTGTGTGATGTTCAACTATTGCATATTAATCCATTGTCTTCATTGTGATCATTTTGTTTTCTATTTGAACATTGTACATGTATTGTAGTTTACTTTTAGGTTGACTTAGAGCATCTGTCCAGGGACAACACATGGAAAATAGCCTTCTGGCTAACTCTGGTGCATATATAGGAATGTTTAATTAATGTACACTGTCCCTGTTAAAATAAACCAATAAATTAAACAAAAATTCTAATTAAAATTCCAGAATCTCTAGAAATTATTTACATATTTAAAGTTTTCCTGCTGGACACAAGATGTCTCCTACTTCCCTGTAAAGTTCTCAGTGGATGTGCACTGTTGGATCACACTGTACAAGTTGCATACTGGACCAGAATTGACTTGACTAACTATTTATGATGTCACAAAACCTGCTGGTAGGCCCCGCCCCTTAAAATCTGATTTTCAATGAGCACAGAGAAACTTTCCACTTCCAGCAGATGAATGTGAAAACATCCTTCTAGAGTCAAACTCTGCACAGACATCAAACAGCACACTGTAGGGACAAGAAGAAACACTGATTTCTGACTGGAGGGGAACTTTAAAAACACCAAACCCAGTTTGCTCTTTGTGCATTACTTAAAAATAAAACAGTAATGCATTTGTTTATTTCATCACAGGACACAAATAAAGACAAAACCAAAATGAAAAATAAGAAAACTGACATTTCTTCTCTTTCCACTTTGTCATAAAACAATATTTTCTTTTATTTGGACACTTAACTTTATATACTGAACCAGTACACAGCGGATACTTAAAGCAATGTTTTTGAAGAAATGAAAGCCCCTTAACTTTAGCACAACCTGTGCAACAACCTCTAGTATTCCTGTAACTATGAACTGAAAACAAAAGCCTTGGTCCAGCTCATAAAATACCTTCATTTTTAAACCAAAACCAATTTTAGCATTATGTGATTTGAGGGGGGGTTTGGGGTTCAAGGCTTTAGGGGAAGTTAAAATTAGTTTAAGCCGACAGACAGAAGTGGACTGATCAGAGAGAAAGCAGGCAGCGATGAGCCAACACTCATAGCTCTACTGCTTTACTCTGCAGACCATACTGTCCATATGTGTGCATAAAATCAGTGTGTGTGTGTGTATGTATGTATGTATGTGTGTGCAAGTGTGTGATGGGTAGTTCTATGACAGACAGGGCAGTCATAATATCCACATCAGTTCCTGATGGATGGAGATGCTCTGGACTCTGCTCCTTGCTGGGGCCTGATAGAACGCTGGAACACCCCTCCGCTCGTCTTCTTTCCTTCTTCCTTTTTTCATCCCGTTAACAGCACTGGTTTCTCCTCAGGCTTTGATCTCAGGGGCTGTGTACAGCTGCTCAGAGTTCTCTGCCCCCAGGTCCTCTGAGGAATGGCAAGACAAAAAAACCCCCAGCAAGAATTAGAAAAATCATACTGATACTTGGATATGCCACAATACTGTATTATATAATAATAATACATTTCACATCTGAGTCTGTGGATTGAGTGGGTTTTTTTTGGTTGGATGACAGGGAATACTGTAGAGAGGTGATTTACAGCGGATGCGACCAGGACTCCAGGGATGATGAAGACACAGCTGGGACATGAAAGGGCATCAAGTGGACATCTAACTTGATTTATTTAGACCAAACCAGAGTTGGTGATTGTTGGAACCGTGGAACGGTGTTTGCATAGCGGTACCTGATTGGAAAATTTTAACATTCTGTCCAAACCTAGTGTTTACCAAACAGGGGGGGTTCTAACACTAATTAAGTCAGACTTGTCTCTGTCTAGTCCCCCAACTTTTTGAAAGTGCTCTAATGAATGAAATTAATGCTCCAGAGTATAGCTTTAATATCTCCTTAATGAAACAATATCAAAAATCAGAGGAATCTTGTGGAAAACACCTGACTTTGTATTCCCAGTCCATACAGGTGGTGTTTTTACAGCCCGTATTTTGTGGCAGTTTTTTGTGCAGAAATTGCCTTTTCAGTGTTTCACACTGGCTTTAACATTTAATGAAAAGATTAAGATTTTGATGTGTGTTCAATGTCATATAGCTTGTTGCATCCAGCAGTGACGACAGTAACGAGTGATCAAAGAGTTTTACCAGGAAGGACACACTTCCACAGGCCATAAGTTTTGCCCACGGCTGTCTGCCACAGTCGGAGCGTGCCGTCCTCAGAGCCGCTGGCGTACAGCTCACCATCCGGACTGAAGCGAACACAGTGCACTGGACCAAAGTGACCCTTATAGGACTCTGCAGAAAGAGGGACAGCAACAGCATTAGATGGGAGTGGTAAAAAATTTGACTTTGGAATATTTTGCTTTCTCACAGTTACTTTGACAGGAAACCATTGAAAATCTAGACATCCTGTTTTCCTACACATTCCTACAAGTTTATTTTTACATGGTCACTGAATCTTTTATACATTGTGTATTGAACAAGTTTTTAAAATGAACAAACCTTCAGCCATACACACTTAAAACATTATTTTCCTAAAGCTAAAGGAGTAAGGTCTCTAAAATGATCCAAAGTCTTGAGAAAAAGCTTCCCCCTGCTCCTCACCCAGTTCTTCCTTGGTGCTGTAGTCAAATTTGTAGAGCTTGAAGTCTTCTCCGCCAGCAACAAAGAAATCCTTCTCTGGGTGGAGGGAGGCTGAGTTGATGGGAGCCGGGGCCTCCACCAACTTGATCAAATCCAGGCTGGAATGGTGACAAAATCATAGAGGTCTACAGTCAGCCCAGACTTCCAGAAGAAAGATTGTCACACATTTACTGGCCTTTGAAAACATTTCACCTGTGTACACAATAAAACTTTTCAGAGTGGATCTATTAAAAAACAGGCTTCCAGACTTTTTCAGTCTCAGATTTCCAGACTTCTCTGTATATGTTTCAGACCATAAAAAATAGTTGTTGGTTATATAAACAAATAGTTTTAAAATCCAACCGTTAATATGTATGTGACATTCTATGTATGCTATTATGTTGCCTAATAACTGCCAGAAGTACAGACTGTAGCTTCGTACTATAGATCACACAAAACCGCTTTCTTGTCCCATTTGGAATCCTGAGCCAACCAGGTTTTATATTTGGGACATTCAAGCAACCCTCAGAAAACGTACATTTACCTGTTGTAGCTGTTCATTCCACACTGCTACGTTCCACTGTCAACATGTCCAAAGAGGAAGTAAATTAACCCGCTGCTACCCATTACCCCTTTTCCTTTAATATATGGAATAAATAATATTAGATTATTGTTGCACCCATACTTTTCAGTCTCTTTAAAGCCCAGTTCAGACCAGAGATTCACAATGAGACAAAAACGCTTTAAAACGATGAATAGAAAAGTCAGCTGGTCCAGTCACTTACAACCAGTCAGCTGGTCGAAATGCTGATGGAGGAAAGAGAGGATCACCTCATCACAGCCATGTCTGTATGACACAAGCCTTAAAGGCCCGGACACACCAACCCGTTTATCGGCTGTCGGACGTCGTCGGACAGTCAGGCGAGGTCGGTGACTCGAGTCGGTTCGGCGTGTCCCGTGCCGTCGTCAGTCGTCGCAGCGTTCATTTTGGCCGATTCGACATGTAGAATCGGCCAGTGGCCGTCGGCCTCAATGACCGATCTGATTGGTGGAGTGCTAGCCCTTGACTAGCGAATCAGTGAGTGCACAAGAAAACTGGAAGTGACGATGGTAAACATACTACACCAACGCCAGTATCTTGTTATTATTAGCCATCGTATTTTCTGTTCAGCGAGTAATGACAATAACGATCCTTCTTGACTACTATCAACACTCTCTGATGAAAACAATGACTGATGACAGTGTGCTCTGTGTTTACTAGGTCTAGAGTGATCTGTCATTTCCGGTTTTCATTTTTTTTGGCCGACAACACAGATTAGCGCCATCTCCTGTTATGGGGACGTATTACGCCTCGCGCACGCGCAGAACGTACGCTCCAGTTGGCGTCGGTTTGGTGTGTTCGGAGGCACTTTTTTGACCGACTCGGGGAGACGGGAGCCGACTGATCAGTCCGACTGCTTTTCTGCCGACGGTCGGCCGTCTGGTTCGTGTGTCCTGGCCCTAAAATGTATTCAAATCAAAAAGGACACCAATGGACAGCTCCAAAATGCAACTGTACCAAGTAACTCACTATCACTATCACTATCCTCATTCATATTTTAAAGACACTATAAATTATATCCAGCTAACAAAAAAAAGAAAAAAGCCTGGAAAGCTGGCTGTTATAGAGACAATAAACCGTCTCATCTCGTCGCATTGGTGTAAACAGGCGCGTTTGGTCTGAACTAGGCTTTAAAGATAGGAACTGAATATTTGTTGAAAAATGTGAAATCATTTATTTTTCATGGCATGTGTGCAACCTTGTTTATTTACTGTTTCCAAGGAAATGACTGAACGCAGCCATGCTGTACAGGCGTAGAGGCAGCTCTCTGGAGTGTGTGTTCAGCCGCACGCCATACTTGCTTTCAACATCAGGCTCATGAAAAACACTGACTAATTTAATTCCAAATGTTATATTATAGAAAACAGAATTGGGGCAGTTCTGGAAACGCCAAAATTTTTTCATACTCTGTTCTGATATGCATGTCAGAAATATAGCGTGGAAAGAACTCCATTTCATCCATGTGAGTGTGGTTAGTTAGTAGTGCATAGTGAGCGTGCAGTATACCTCAGAGCATTGTAGAAAGCGATGGTCTTTCCATAAGTGATCACAAGAATCTCTCCATCAGCCACATACTCCATGCTGCTCACAGAAGTGTCGAATGTCAGCGTTTTCACCTCCTCCATAGAGCTTCTGTCCCACAGTCTGGAGACACACACACGCGCACACACACACACAAACACACACAGGCTATTACTTCCAAAAGGTCTTTGGTGTGTTTGCTGTGAGAGCTCTCTGACAGCATAGAGCAGACTCACAGTCAGGATGAGGACTTTTGAGCACGAGCAGCCACCTCACTGACCGTATGGTTTTGTCCTCGGAAGCAGAGAGGATCTGCTTGTCGTTGTTACACCACAAGGCTTTCTTTATGGCTGAGGAGTGACCTGCAATCTCCTGAGGTGCTTAAGAACACAAAGAGGCAACAGCTGATTACATGAACAGGCAAAGATGATACAACACAAATATCAGAGTTTGACTGGCATAACTTCATCATTGTGTCACTTTAGTTTGAGAGAAAAAGAGAAAGAGGTGCTTGAGGGGGAGATTTAATGAGGAGAGGGGGTGCAAATGAAAGTCTATATGTACCCATGTTTAAAGGACAATTCCGGCGCAATTGAACCTATGGGTTAATAACACATGTGTACCGAGTTGGTCCGTTCTCTGGGATATGTTTTCATGCTAATCGAACGTGACGAGTTTTAGCACAAACCGCTAATTACCTTATAACGCTAGTCACTGGGGCACAGAGTAACGTGAAAAGAAATCTCTATTTCTATACCACTAACAAGACTCAAAATAGCACCACACTTACACGGTAGCATAATGAGGGCCCCTATGTATAAACCAAAGCATTGAGAACTTTGTAAGTGTACAGACAGTTTATTAAAAAGATAGTTTAGAACAACAGTAGCGTTCAAGTATACAGGCGGGCGCCATCTTGGGAAAACAGTCACGCGACCAGTCGAACTCTCTGAGATGTGAAGTGAATCTGGCGTGAAACGTTGTTGCCGGAAGAAAGCAATGAGCGCATAAGAGAAGCACTCGTTGTTGATGTCTTCAAATTCGGTTGAATAATCCGCCATCTCTTTAGTGTGTATCCTGTGGAAGCACTAGTCTCTGTTGCGTTCAGTGCTTCTCTTATGCGCTCAGTGCTTCTCTTATGCGCTCAGTGCTTTCTTCCGGCAACAATGTTTCACGCGAGATTGTCCTTTAACTTTGCATGACTGAGTTTTCTCTTTGACACATTCACTTACCTGCTTCAGGGTTGCTAAGATCGTAGATGCGCAGCAGTTTGTCGTTTCCTCCAGTCAGCAAACAGTTGCTGTCCTGGGATCAGAGGCAGAAATATATCGAGAGGCAAGAGCAGTTTTAGAAATATCCCCAATCACAACAGCTGCAACGACTATTCGATTAGCTGTCAACTTAATTAATAATGAATAAATTATTACCAACTATTTTGATAACTGATTAATCATTCAGAGTGATTTAAGAAAAAAAGTCAAACTTCTCTTATTTCAGCTTCTCAAATGTAAAGGTCAATTTTCTGGTTTCTTTGGTCCTCTATGACAGTAAATTTGTAAACAGCAATCAACATTTTTTTCACCATTTTCTGGACCAAACAACTGATCAATTAATTGAGGATATTATTGACTGATTAATCACATCACATAAATATGTACAGAAAGGATCAGATTTTTAAGCATGTTATTTTAAGACCCAATCCAAATCCAGACTGACCTGAGTGAAGGTGACAGTCTTGACGATGTGTTTGTGTGCCAGTGTGAGGACCTCGTCTCCACTCACTGCGTCCCACACCTTTCTGAAAGGCACAGAGGTCAGCTTTTAATATTTTCAGATTTCATCATATTTATCTTTGCATACTATGCTTAGAAGACACAGATACTTTAGTTAGAAGAAAAATCCAAGTCCATTGATTTACTGCTGTAGACTGATCTCAGTTCAGTCACTGTACAATATACCACCGCCCCACTACTAATCAGCACTGCTCAGTGAGAAACAGAGCAGTGCTGATAATGCACATTAATTAAGCCATGGAGACGGAATTAATTCAATAGCAAAATAATATTGAAAATCCGTCAGCCTTTGAGAGAGGTTACCATGGTGATGCTTTGTGATGCTGAGTTAAAGGGATCATGTCTGTCTGCTGCTGTTGGGGGAGCACTACTACGGGTGTATAAAGCCGTGACTCAAGTGATGTCACTCAAGTCAGCTGGGGTGAAGACTGCTCTCCTTATATCTTGCTCCAGACTCCATTAGTTGCTACTAGCGTTATATCTCCAACCGACTGAGTTGCATTGAGGGTAATGTAGGCCTCCGATTTTGACAAAAAAAGAGGAACATTTGGAATAAAAAAAAGACATTTCTAGTTTTGCTCCATCGATTCTTTTTGTCCATTATGATTCCAAGTGTTATAGGAAAAGCTAAATGAGAACTCTTTAAAGCCCAAAGGTAGCCGGCTAACCCACTAATCGCACTTAATGATACAGGGACCTGGAGTCAGGACAAATATTCTATTAAAAACATCTGTCTTTTGAGGAGTTTAAATAGAATCTTATTAACCCCGAAATTCCACCGGACACAGCTTTATGACATCGCATCCGCGGTTCGGCGAAGCAGAGCGTCTCAGATCATTTTGCCTGCCTGATGTTGTTCACTTATGTATTTTGTCCTTAATAAAAGACACAAAGCGGTGTGTTTCTCTGCTTAAAATCTCCTCTAACCTGTCTCTGAATGATTGACTTCTAGCCTGGTGTTACAATGTTGAAGTAGCGTGAAATTCATCCTGAATCTGCATGCAGTATTTGATTTTTAAAAAGTGAGTGGATTCTCTAAGATATTTCCCTGTCTGACTTCCTGCCAGTGTGATCTGCTCTATGCTGCTTAGAGGGTGTGGACTGCAGCTTCCACCAAAAACAGGCCATATTCTACGCAAACGACAACAGAAAGATGCTTCTGGTGAAATCTTGAGCATTGTCAAAAATGGGCTTGATTGGCACCGTCGGCACAGCCAGACCACTTCTAAGAGACTGACTTAAAAAGGTCCAGTGTGTAGGATTTAGTGGTATTTAGCTCCATTCCAAGTGTGAAGGACAAAGTAATGTAAGTTAGCTGCAAAACACGTACCCACTCCCTCTGTTGATAGAAACAGCTCATTCTAATAGGTAACAAAAACGCAATTATTCTTATTTACAGGTGATTATACAGTAATGAAAACATACCTATAAATATTATATTCCATTTCTGACAATAGATCCTCCTAAATGTTACACACTGGACCTTTAATGCAACACTCAACCATTAATCTGTCAGTACACCAATCCATCTTTGTGTGCATGTAACCAGAGAGAGTAGAGCGAGTATTCAGGATGACTGGGTTTAGACGTGTTTCAGGAGTCTGTTACAGGACTCTCCACTCACGCTGTAAAGTCAGCTGCGGCGGTGGCTGCCTTGGTGGCGTCTGTGTTCAGAGTGGCTCCCCAGACAGCGCCTTTGTGACCCAGAAACGTTCCTATCCAGTCCCCTGTGTCTCCCTGGCGCAACATGGGCTTGCCATCTGGCAAAAGAAAAGCAGAGAGGACACAAAGGTTACATCCTAGGGCAGTGTACCAGGAGATGACAGCTGTGGGTAACCCTGTGGATGTTGCAGTCAACAGGTGTCTCAAAGACTGCCTCACTTTGAACAGCTGAGTCTGAACTGGCTTTCAGGAAGATGAAGACACATTTTAATTCAGGGTTTAAGAACAACATACTGATCCACACAGTGGAAACCTACAGGCAGGTTTACACTGTGTTACACAGCAGATGGAATGCAGCTTAACGTATTCAGTGATGGAACCACTCGAGGTGACTCTCTAACGTTAAACCGTTAGACCATTCAAACAAACTTCATTTATAGACTGTCCATTTGTCTCACCCTTGCAGGCGCTGATCAGGAAGTAGCCGTAGGGAGTGATTCCACTGAAGGCCAGGTCCACCACGGGCCGGGTGTGACCGGAGCAGGTGAGCGGAGTCTGTCTCATCGCCATGGTCCTCCAGCCGGGCAGGAGACGGTTCGCGCTGCGGGGAGGAGACGGTAGAACGCTGGCGGCTAGCTAACGCTAGCTGGCTGTATAAGCTAGCAGGCTACAAGAAAGAGCAGACAACGAGCTAGCTGGTGTTCCGCCGGCAGTTTCCGTTGGCCAGCGGTTGGCTGCTGGTTGGACTGAAGCTGAAGTGAATAGTGGGTCTGTAAAACTAAACGGCGGGTCTTCCTCCCAGCGAAGGAATGGCTATCGTGCTAATAGCTACAACATTGCAACTAACTAGCAACGTGCAACGCGGCGTCACTACCGCAGAGATGATATAGCCGGTGTTCCGCTAGCCACAACAACGACACAACTTCCGCTGTGCTATGTTTCACAATAAAAGCGCCACCCCTTCAAACTGACTACAGACTGTGGTGTGTTGAAGATAAAATGAATAACAGATTGTAAGTAAGCTTGGGGAGCTGTAATCCATTACAGTTACAGAAAAAAGACGTGATCAGATTACAGTTATATTTAGTAAAGAATTGGGATTATTTAGTTTTTCTTTTAAAATACACATTGTTGATGCTAAAAATCTTTCCATTTTCCTTTCTACGGTTACATTGTTCTGTTGTCTTATAGAATACACTTACATCCATACTGCTTATTGACATTTCTTTTCTCTTGTCTTTATTTAACGTTACATACATACATACATATATTTGGTGTTGAGGTAATCCAAAAATAACAAAAAGTAATCAAGTTACATTACTTTAATATTGTGATACTTGGATTACATTTTTTAACTTGTTATTAGTAATTATAAAGGATAACATTTTTAAAGAAACCCTACCAGCCTTGATTATGAGATAAATAATCAGACAATTAAATTTGTATAATATAACATTACTATGAAATTGTGTGATGTCCAGAGGACGCATACAGTGCAGGTCATTTTTATTTAATTCCAATAGTTTTTATTTTAAAATGTCTATTTTCCAAAGTCTGTTTTAGGTTCAAAATGCAATTTCCCAAGGATCTGTTGCCTTGTGTTGTATAATGATAAATACATTTCCTTGATTCCTTGAAACAAATCAAGCAGGGCAAGGCAAAGACCATTCTGTAGTCTCTATGGGCCCTCCTCAAACTAGGGCTCTGTATACTCCAATAATCTTCAACTGGGAAAATTCAAAGTAATATAAACAAAAAATAAATAAAATAAAATGTTTTTAAATATTTCTTGCTTTTATTTTGAAGGCTGGAAATGGAGCTCTTCACGTGCTTCATGGTAGGATAAACGCATCTCAGGTATGTTGCTGCCCCCTGCAGGAAATTAACAGCCGGTCCTCCCCGCACATAAATCACACCAACACAATACCAGTGTCCCTCCCAAACAGCTCTGGTTCCAGCTAACGACCAGCTGTTAGCCTGCATTAGCCTACTTATATCACCACACAGAGCCAGCATTGCTCTCAAAACACAGTGTTGTTGTAATATTTATCATATATTATGTAAGATGAAATATAGGCCTACTGCAAACATTTCATACCAAAATCCACCTCACTGTAGAAATATAAAAGTCTAACCTACCACTGATGGAATTAACCCATTAATGTCCACAGTGGAATTCAAGTAGGCTAGCTCATTGTTTAGCTCCTACTGGTTGAGCCAAACACAAATCCATGGAAAGTTTCCAAATCAGGAAAGTGCATCACGTACTTTTTTAGTGGCTTTCTTTTCCTTTTCCAGGAAAACAACTCTAGAACAGGTTAGAAATGTCCAATCTTCATATTTTAGATACACACATATTGTTGTCTGCCACAATATAGATTCAATATAGATGAGCCCTATGGGATACAATTAGTCAATTCTAGTGACTTACCACTAAATATAGCACAGAAATGGTTGTATCTCAAAAATATATATATATACACATTATATATAATGCTTGGTACCATTGGATTCAGAACAACTTTGTCTAAAGCTCTAATCAAATATCACACAAATCTGTTTGTATTTGTTTTCCTGTTCAAATCAAACTAAACCAATATTAATGTTTTCATTTGAATCAGAACGTCCCATATGTGTGCAATATATTTCCCCTGATAGCAAAAATAGTAACATTATATAAAGAAATATAGGTCTATGTTTAACATATCATTTACTTTCCATGTGCTCCTGTAATTCAGCATTGTGGATATTGTCCTGTATCCTGTCCAGCACTGAAAAAACGGTTGTTTTATACAATTATCCTCAACAATTATTATACAAATGAGTCAGTTCCTTTATTTTTACGACTCATTAAAAGTATTGGGCCAGTGACTCAAACAATGTAATGTAGGCCTATTACTCGTTACCCTTTTCAAAAGTAATCTTATTACCTTATTAGTCCCGTCCAACAGTAATCAGTTATATTATTTTTCTGCTACTCCCCAAAGTTCAGACCTAAAACGATTAAAGTTTGTTGGAGTCAGAATAAACAAGTTTCCTCCATTATCAAAAAAATGAATCTAAATCCTAAATCTAAAACTAGTTTAGTTTTAAGAAATGAATTACACTAGCCTACTAGTTACTGGAGAAAGTAATGTGATTACTACTAACCCTTTACTGCCCAGCACTGCTCATTAATCAATCTTATTGTGTTTTAAAGCAGCATAAAGGGAACTATATTAAAATGTCTACTCGCGTTGTAAATGCCAATAACATAACCTTGAATCACTGATCAGTCCTCCCTTTAGGCCTGAACATTATCAGATCAAACATCTTGGAATGTTTTCTTGTGATGGAAATGAGAGAACGGAAGAGAAACCCAGTGTGATCTCCAGAGGGCGCATACAGTGCAGTGCCACTGTGCACACTGTGTGCTGCTCTCACTGAGGCTCGGACTGATCCGGCTGCAGCAGGATGACAGACAGCGGGGAGTGTGCCTTGCTTCGCGGCTGCGGGCAGAGATGGCGTCCTGGTGCCGGTGAATAAGCAGAAAAACAGAGCGGAGGGAGGGGAGAGGGGAGAGGGATGCGGGAGACGGAAGATGAGACGCTGCATCATTTAGAGCATCACATGGCAGAAGATCACTCTCCGGCGCTCTGTGGATCTTTACGGATGTCTATTGTTCTTTTTCTTCCATGAGATCTGAAGCAGCGCTGTGATCCCTCGGAGGGGAGGCGGTGGGGGCTTGTTGTCTACCTCAGCTGTTTCTCCCTCCGGCCGGCGGGGCTCTCTGCTGCTCATCCGACGCAGGGAGAGGGAGGAGAGGGCAGACGGAGGGAGGGAGGTGAGGGAGGTGAGGGGCGACGATGGCTGCCGGTGGAGCTGGATGCGGGGAAACGGTGGAACAATGCCGGGCCGAGGTGGAGCGCCTGACCCGGGAGCTGGCGGAGGCCAACCGCGAGAAGGTCCGGGCGGCGGAGTGCGGGCTGGTGGTCCTGGAGGAGAACCAGAGCCTGAAGCAGCAGTACGCAGACCTGGAGGCCGAGCAGGAGGGGCTGAGGCTGGAGCTGGAGCAGCTGCAGGAGGTGGGCTCGGCAGGGGTATGGCTCGTTACTCGAAAAAGTAAAAAGTAGCCAATAGTAGTGACTGAAGTAATGTCGTTACTGACGCCTTGTTCGTTACTAATCAGTGTGCCGTTCCATTAGCACCGTTCCATGTAGGAGAGGTCAGAACTCCACTCATAAGTTCAGTGCTGGGTTCATTATCTGTGCTGGGGCATGAACGCATCACTGATGTTGTTTACCTGCGGCTGTACCTGTAGTTCCACCTGCTGGACACATAAGCAGAGACAGGCCCAGCTCATAACATCACTACAGACAACACTACACAGAATATCATTTAGTCCACATTAACTATATACCTTATGTAGCATACCTTTCTGTTTCTCTGATTCTTTGGTGTCTGGTTATGTTTTTAAAGACATAAATACATTTTCTAGATCTTATAATACTCAGTTTGAAAATAGGTAAGCTACTCTATATAAACTTAAAATAACATTTAAATCATACTATGTAAGTCTATGTACACTATGTAACAGTGACTAATGTCATAAGTATTATCTGCTTGGGCTTCCACAACTCTCTTTGGTGTAAATCGATGTATTTTATTTACATATATTTATTTTGTTGTTTAATTTTCATTAGATTTATTGTTTTATAACTATTTATTTATCTTTTATTTACTTTTTAATTATATTTACTTTTTTATTTACTTTTTAAAATTATTTTTTAATATTTTCTGTATTTTTATGACTTTTTTTTTTAAATCCCTGAAAAAATCTTAATTTCATTCTACAACCTTCTGTTGGAAATGACAAAATATTTACCTTGAACTTAATTGATTAACGATTAGTAATGATAATTTGTAATTAGTTATTTCTGCATCACAATTTTCATTTTCACCAGAACAAAATGACTAATGTCATGATGATGTGACATTTGTTGGGGTCTGTATCAAATATATTTTCTTACAACTGGAGAACCACATGTGTAGTGCTGAATGCTGTTTTGTCACACATTTTACCTTTATCAAAAACATATTGCTGTTTTAATATTATTTCAATTAATTGTGCAGTCCTGTATGTGAAACAACTGAATGGCTGCGCTCATTATGAAGTCTTGGATTCCTTGCCCTAAGAAGTGATGTTATCCATGACTCATCTGAAAGTAACATCAGTTTCTCTGATGTTACACTACTATCTTACACTACTCATTACATTGAGGTTGTCTCAGCATGACTGGGCTGAGTTGGGGTTTGATGTATTTTAGTGCTCAAGTGCTTAGTTTATTAGGCTACTTTAAAGGTCCAATGTGTAACATTTAGGATATATGGAATATAATATTCATAAGTATGTTTTCATTAGTGTATAATCATCTGAAAATAAGAATCGTTGTCTTTTTGTTACCTTAGAATGAGTCCTTTTTACCCACACAGGGAGCGAGTACTTTTCTACGGAGTCCGCCATGTTTCTACAGTAGCCCAGAACACACAGATTTGTTTAGTCAGACTGCCATACACAGCAAACCTGGGGCCAGATAGTATTTCAGCCATTGTCATATACTGTATAAAGACAGACGATGTGTCCTCCAACAGTTACAAAAATGACAAAAAACAAAATATTTATTTGACATGTACTTTGATTTTTTGTTTGTCCCATCTGCTAACATGGAGGGGGCAGGGTTTAAGACCTATACGACTGCAACCAGCCACCAGGGGGCAAATCAAGATGTTTTGTCTACACTTTTGGGGAAATTTCATGTCGTCCTTCTTAATATATGTCGATGATTTCAGCACAGCAGTAGTTGGGTTTTGTGACTGTAGTATGCAAAATATAGACTAGTAGCTTGGGGTCATTTGGGACCTACAGTACACTTTTGCCCAAGGGGCCTATGGCTAACTTTTTAGGAACTCAGCTGATTTTTCTAGCCACCAGAGGGCAGTAGCGCAACAAGCTGTAAACATAACACTGACATATTGCCACCTTATAAACTTGTTACGACAAACATATTAGCAAATAATTACATATTTACACATCTTACAGACACAAAACAACATTATCAATCATTTGGAGTCGTGTTTGTGTCCTGCTGATGAATGTAAACCCAATATTCACTCTCCTCCATAGCTCAGTTTTTGGTCTCTACCAACTCCTGAGGGAAATATCTGCCTCTTTAGCTGCTCCACTACGTTCACCAGCTATAGTCTCTGTAGGTTGAAGAGAGTGGAGTTTCAGTCTGAAAACCCAAGATGATGAGCTGAAAGATGCTTAAAAGCTCTGAGCTGAGGGGGACTGCAGAGTTGGAGATAATTCTCTATGAGTTTGTCTCTATGGACATTGCACATTTCATCCATTGGTCATACACAAATATTGATTAATGCAGCTTTAATAACTAGCCATTTTTAACTAGCCAACCATTAGGTTAAAGGAACCAGCGGCTTGTTGTTTTTTACAAGGAATCAAGAGTGTAGCAAACTCTTGATTCCTTTTTAAGCTACGTTGAGACTGATTGGCTGTATTCATAACCAACCTTCCACCATGTGATCATTTGCATATATGTTGTTGCTGTAATGCTGCATAGTATTCTGTTTCACCTCATGGCCTCAGGACATGATTTATGTCCCCTGAGTCTGATAATCAATCTCAGCTAATGAGCTGCGCCAGCCTCTGTTGTGATCAACTCATTTTTCTGATCGATATGCATCAGAGAACAGCCTTTTCCAGCCTGTAGGCTAATGTACAGCAACACTAATCCACCAGTTTGTTAGCTGTAAAACAGACGAATCTGGGGTTGGAATCTGACGCTGACTGTGCAGTTACATCCTGAAGGTCAGTGTGTGTTTATGTGTGTGTGTGTGTGTGTGTGTGTGTGTGTGTGTGTGTGTGTGTGTGTGTGTGTGTGTGTGTGTGTGTGTGTGTGTGTGTGTGTGTGTGTGTGTGTGTGTGTGTGTGTGTGTGTGTGTGTGTGTGTGTGTGTGAATGTGTGTGTGTGTGTGTGTGTGTGTGTGTGTGTGTGTGTGTGTGTGAGTGTGTGTGTGAATGGCTCAGAGGAAGCAGCAGTACCAGTTCACACACATGATGTGTCAACAGTATGTTATTTTTAACTGTTATTTAAAGAGTGGAGTCAACTATGGACACTTTGTTATTGACAGCAGTGCACTGTGGGAATAAACGGCAGCCAGGGAAGTGAAGCATGAACATACTCATTGTTGGAAGCTTCCCAGTGCAACCATAGTGCTGCACTGCTGGCTGCTGGCAGCTCAGAGCCTACGTCTTCAGCCACTGACATACTTTTATTGTTATTAATAACATAATATTCACCAAAGCTGCTGTAAGTGATATTGTTTTGTTAAAATAAGTGTTAAATAGCTCTACATTCTGACAGCCATTACTCATATAGAGTGTTCAGTCAGTAACATGGGTCTCCCAGTCCCTCCTTCCGACAGTAAACAGAGAACACATTTCCTGGTATCTCGTTTCCACTTTATCCAATCAGGAGAGAGAACTTCACAAAGAGGCGGTTCTCAAGTGGACTGCAAGAACAGACAGGAAGCCAAAATGGCAATTTCACTTACAGCAGCTTTAACTGCTAAGATCTGGGAACATGGCAACATCACAACAACAAAGTCTGTTGGGGCCTAAGGGTTAGAGAAGTACGGTTGTATTCTGTTCAGTTCCTAATAAATTCCTTATTAGGATATTAATTCCTATTAAATAATATAACGTTTCGTATGAATCAAGGTGCTGCCTTTACAGGCCTTAATTGTTAGTTTACAGTTGGTACACTTTGTAGCTGACTGCAATATGTGGGTGCTCAAAACATGTCTTGCATAATACTTGAAGCAGGTGCACTGCACTTCATGCTTCACAGAGAAAGGCAGGTCTGTTGTGCTGGCAAATTGCACTTTTTGGAGTGGTCCGAGTAACCTTACCAAAATGGCATTTGTAATAAACCAGAAATAATCTTTCACGTCCCCTGAAAGAAACGTCCTCCTGTTTTAACCACCATCCCGTTCTGTCCTCTATCATCAGGCTATTGCGGCTTCATGTTCCTGACTGGGATCACCTTGGATTAAGACAAGGGGACAGTTTGAGGTTAACACAGCACAAATATTGTTTTCAGGAGATCCCCTCCATCCTTGACCATTTTCACTTTCTATAAACTCTCCCATGGGCTGCATCCTTCTGTACACACGTCGTCTTCATCTAGTCTTCATTCGAGCCCCTCTAACTCAATACCTCATTTCATCTCATTCCAGTTCATTGGACTGCTATCGATCCTCTCTGTCACGAGGCGTACTGCTTGGGAAAAAAAGGTTACGCTGATGTGAGAGGGCTAATACCTCACTTATTATTAGTATTTTGCTTATTATCAGTTTCTCTGAGAGACAGAAGGCAGAGTTCTGAGCAGTATGACACAAAGAGATTCTACATATATATAATATCACCATGAAGAGAATGAATTAAACTTAAAGATGTTTCTACAATGTGCAAGGTAATCTGCACAGCGCCTTGTTTAGAGGACACCTTCCCCCTGAGTACCAAACTGCAGCCTCTTCAAAAGTAAAACTGTCAACTTTGCACAGTGTGCGCTTTTGATTTTATTTTAATTAATGATGCAGGCAACAGTGGACTGACACACTAACCACAGTATTTTCTCTTGCTTGTATGTGATGGATTGAATTTACATGTAATTGACACTGCAAAAACCCTTGTTCACTGAAACCAGTGCTTAAATAGGGCCAACTCCCACTGTATTTAATGGTGAAATTAATGGCACCTGCTGGGGTACCAGTGCTTCAGATTGGTTTTGTCTCATATGAGAACACCTATTTCTCTAATGTGCTACATTCTAGAGAATACCAGTATGTGTTTGACTAAAAAGTTAAAACCTTTAAGGTCCAGTGTGTAACATTTTGGACAGAAATGAAATATAATATTCATAGGTTTGATTTCATTAGTGTGGAAGTAAAATAAGAACTGTTTTGTTTTCGTTACCTTACAATGAGCTGTTTTTATCTACAGAGGGAGCGGAATTTGCCA